AATACAGTGCCGTTTATCATTATCGTTTGTTTACAGTCCTGCAGCCAGTTCTCAATTCCAGTGCTGTGCTTGCCCCTTCCCAAGTCTTTTTGAATTAATTTTTCAATTAGGATTTCGTGAGACACAGATGCCGTCCCAAAATCCAGAAAATGACCTCCTTTATGTTCCTTTCGTCCACTCTCTCTGTAACTTTATCAAAGAACAAATAAAGCAATTAAATTTGTCTGGCAGGCTTTATTCTGTACAAAGGCTGCTTCTCATTCTATTACCCTCAAGATTTTTAGCTGGATTTTCTTAAAGCTGATTTTCCCTTGTCTTTTCCCTTTCCCTCTGGAAAGACCCAGGGCTGTTTCTTCTTTTGCAAGATCCTTCTGATGAGAATAGCAGGATGGAAGGGCTCAGGGCATGACCCCAGCTCTGTGCCCCTCTCTGGATGAGCCCTGGGTGTGTGCAGAAGGGTTCAGGAGGGTGAACACCTGAAGCTGCTGCTCACAGCAGCATTTGATGACTCCCCAGCATGGCTGTCACTGAGCAGCCATGCTCTGCTGTGCTTTGAAGGCACGCAAAGTGTCTCTTTCTGTGTGCAGTGCAAAAATTGGTGAAAATGCACTTTCTTTTTGTTGTTGTTATTATTGGTATTATGCCAACACCACTTAAACTGGTCCCCCACCGTGTCTCTCTCTTCCAAGTGTTTTGATGTGGATTTCCAGCTCAATTACCTGTGACAGTTCCAAGTGCAGCCCTTGTGCTGACTGGGATTTCTGTCCTCAGCATCATAGTGCTCACCTCAGCTTTGAAACTGGCCCTGCCCTGTTCTCTTCAGCTGCTCCTTTATCTTTGGAACATATTCCTTACTGTACAGGCTTTAATTTTCATCTGGTAACTTACTTATCTGAAAACTTCAAATGAGCCTGATCTTTGAATTTGGTCAGGGTCTTCCTGCTGATTTTTTATACTGTGTCCTGTGTCAGAAAATATTCTGATATAATAATAGGCAGATTGTTTTTACGGCAGATGACGACAGGAGTGGTTGTCAGGACTTTTTTTTCCCCCCTATAAATGCAATGCTTATACTCTCAAGTGAATTAGTGTCTCCTTCCATGTGCTTTATGTAGCTGTTTAAGACACGTGGTTACTCTATAAATACAGACTCTATTAAACATTGCATAAGGGTGTGTAATTTTAATTTTTTTTTCCTTTCTGTCACTAGAACTACAGATAACTCGCATCCATGAGTGTAATTAGACTTAAAAACCATAGCCAGGCTGTGCCTTCTGGGGTGCCCGCCTGGAGGCTTTGACAGCAGCATCCGCTGGGGAAGTGGGCATGAAACTGTGGTCACAGCAGCCAGGGCGTGTGGGGCTCTCAGAGATCAGCTGGGCCAGGGGGGACAGATCTTTGTCAGCAGCATCCGGTACACTTTGCCATCTGTGAGCAGCCCGGTTCTATCGATCCATTAGATTAGTGCTCCTTGTCTTCTCACACATTTGCATTTTATGCTGAAATTCGTTTGCTGCCTGAAACCAGCTGTGCAGCTGGTTAGAACAACTGCACAGTGCAGCAAAGCCGTGGCTCCTGCCAGCTCTTAATAAATTATTAAGGAAAACAGGACATTGACCCTTGCTGTGACTGGGTCAGATGTATCATTCTTAAGCACGGATTTGGAAAGTGGTGTTGGAGCAGCTGTGCTGTATTGAGGTGTCAGGGCTGAGAGATAAGCGTGCCTGGAGTTAATAAGTTAAAACATTAACTGTCTGTTGCTCATACCTGTGAGATAGCATCTGTGGCCTGGGGAGCTGACATATTCAAAATGTCAAAGCAGCACTTGGACAGCATCATCTCAGTGGCCAGACATATTTCACAGACATCTGGGAAAGCTCCCTGCTGCTATCAGTGTGCTGCAGTCACCGGCCCTGGCTCTGTGCTGAGCTGAGCTGGGTGCAGCAGATACTTTTCCAGTGGTAAAAGACACTGAAGATAGGAATAATTCCAGCTTCATTTGTATCTGGAAGAGTAATAGACAGAAGATTCAGTATGAAGGGATGGGAGGGGCAGTGAGCACAAGGCTGGTCTGCAGGAACGAGTCCAGGGCAGCCACAGCACTTGGAGCCTCAGCCCTGGGCTTTCCTGCAGTCAGGCTGAGCTTGTGTGTGACTAGATTGAAGCAAAGGTGGAATTACCATAGTAAAACCTGGTGTCTCTTAAAACTGCTGGAAAAACTTCTGAGGCACGGGGGAGAGGTATATGTTGTGGTCAAAGTCCTAGACTTTGCAGGTTTCTCTCATATTTCCCATCTGACTTTTGAATACTTGGTCTGTACCTCAGTTCCTCCAGTCCTTCCTATCCTTTAGTTTTGTTTCGGGAAGGTTGCAGAGTATTTGAATACGTGGCTGTTTCCTTTATAGGAGTGAGACACGAACCCATAATGAAAAACACAGCTGGCCAAGCCCCAGAGCAGAGCTGCTGTTCTCAGTGTCACCTTCCAACAGTAACAGAGTCTTACCCTGATCAGTCTTTAAAGGTGATCAATGTGTCAGGCTGTTTATACAGCACTGTCACAGTGTTTACACTCCAATCCCACTACAGATTTCATTTGTAACAAGCACTGGAGATTAATGATTCATAGCACTTGAAAAATGGCAGTCTGAAATTTCAGATGGGATGATTGCTGACGTCCCTGGGGTTTAGGTATCGCAACTCTTGTGGTTCTGTGTCAGGCTGCTGAAACCTGCTTAGAATTAAAGTGGAACATGCACAGACCAACCAAAACTTTGCTTGGAATGGTGCCAGTTATTTTGCTGTTTTTCCTCAGTGTTTCTGTGTGGTAATTTGCTCCCTTGCCTTTCATTAACAACTAATAATGAATGAGGGCGGTCAGGTTGGACAAAGCACAGAGGTTGTGGCTTTTATTAAAAAGTGTGTACCCTTATCCCTCACATGTGGGTTATTCCTGTGCACATTGTCATCCATGGCCATGCACAGGAGCTGGAGGAGAGCTCTGGGATTTACCAAAATGTGACATTTATTTGGCACTAGTGATAGGCAGACGATTTTAAGAACATGCCTCTTCCTGCAGTAGCAGTGAAAGTCTTTCTGACTTTGAGCTTGAATTTTGAAACTATTTTTTGCTGTTGAAAATAAAATTTTACTTTATTTATATCCTCCCACCTTCTCCACCCTCCTCAGCTTTCTTATTACTTTGCTTAAGAGAATTGGGATGTGTTCTCTGTATTTTGGGGACCCTCAGGGTGGCTCCAAGGGCTGTCCTGAGTGTGGTACCCTTAACTGCATGAGTGAAGCAGGAAAGTAAAGTGGGAACTTGGGAATGGGGGGAGAAAAAACACCTCTGTGCTGGGCAGAAGTGGCATCCAGACACAGCCCAGCCACATCTCTTTTTTTCAGTCAGTAGAGTGCAGGCTGGGAGGCAGCAGTGTTGTGCTGTGTGAACTGCAGTTGGGAGAAAGGTTTGGGTTTTTTCCCTATCACCATCTCTAGCAATTGTGCAAAAATTGTGAGCTTGGAAAGGAGTTATCCCGGGTTGTTTTTGCCCATAAAAGCCAAGCTTCGGTTTTTTCTCAGATAATTTGTAAGTGAATGTGACATTTGGGTGTTCTAATGATGGGGCAAAACAGTCCCCCTTGCAATGCTGCACAATTGAATACAACTTACCACAGCCAAAATGAGGGGGGAAATAAACAGGAAAAACTGTAGAGCTCAGGCCAGTGCTGATGTGTGGTGAAATAATGCCATTCAAAACCTGGTTTGTATTTACAGCTTTCATTGGTGCAGGAAGCTTTGGGAATTGGTAATTAACAGAAGAAATCCGTTCTATTCAGGAAATATTGGACTGAGTTTGTCTAGGTTTTAAGTAGTCTGAAGCCTTATCTATTACAGGAATCCCCTGATCTTTCCAGGATGTTTTAGACATACAGTAGCTACTTCCTCTCACGGATGTATTGTCATTTGGAAGTGAACAGTACATGTTGAAAAAGCTTTTGTCTGTAGTCAAATTGGCACGGACTGAGAAAATCCAGATGATCTCCCAAAGGGGAGCCTGTGCAGCTGAGCTGTTCTTTGTTACAGTGTTCAGCTTTTTTTAAACCCACTTTGTATTCTGTCACACACCTGCTAGTGTTGTGATCCTCCTGCTATGATAGAAATGTGACTGGGACAATGTTGTGACCAAAGCAGCATTGCTTAACAGTCCAGCTGCAAAATGGAGGAGTTTATCCCAGCTAAGTCTGTACAAGAAGGGCTGTGAGCGTTGCCATAATTTATTTTAGAGTCAGGCAGTCCAAGGACAAGAGTCCTCTCACCTCATCTCTCACCTTCAGATGATTTTTTCCTCCTCTAGCTTAGCTGATGACATGATATTTAGATTTCATTGAGGTTTCTCACTTTCCTTCCAGTCTTGGTGTTGTTTGGCCAGTTGTCAGATGATGTCTGCTGCATCTGTGTCATGATGGTGCTGTGATGTTACAGGTGACCTTTCCTCAGCCTGCTGTAAGTTAGCAGTGTGCCAGAGGTAATCGTGGCCTTTTTCACCTGTGCACACTGTGCTGCCTGACCCATGACTTGCTGAGTGGAGGAAAGGTGTCAAGGCTTTCAAAGCCAATTTCCTCCTTAAAGTTTTTTTTCCCTGGGTTGATAGCTTGTTTTTTCATTAGTGTATTTATGGTGATTGTGAAAACAAAAGCTGCTTTACAGGCATAATTAAAAGGAAAGAGACTATGTGGTTTCTTGAAGAAACTTGGAGAAGCCCACTTTTTTTTTTTTTTTTTTTTCATTCTTTTCTGTGATTTAGTCAAAATGAGAATCACAATGGCTCAAAACTCAAAATTAGTCTCAGGAGCCCAATAATCTGATAGACGAGAATTTTCTAAACTGAAAGTGTCTAATTGAGACAAATGTGATGGATTGAGGAGAGAGCACCATTGACCTGGTTTTGCTTCGTTAGGCTTTCCAATTAAACAGGATGTGGAAAGGAAGACCTTGCAGCATAATGCTTGGACCAGCAGGACTGAGGTTTTAAATGTTCCTTATACTTTAAAAGATGTGCTTTTAAAGATTTTGCTTGAGTACTAATCCCAGAACACTAATGATGGAGCTTCCTACAGGGATGTTATCTCTTGCTAACCTTTTAATTAACAGGCTAAGTAGACGATTGTGTGCTTTTGTGTTTAGAAGTTCTTTAATGAGGTTTGAATCCTCTGGCCAAGTTAAGCTAAGAGTTCAGATTTTGACACCAAGGAAGATGCCAGGCTACAGAAAATGTACAGTGCACTTGCATTATAATGTGCAGAACTGGAGAGAAGCATTCATTAGGAAGAAATTTAATGGAAAGCAAAACAACTTCAGCCAACTGCAGCTGTTGAGAAGAAAAATTTTACCAAGGATGTGGCCAATGCTTTCACCATCACGTCTTGATCAACTTTCTAAAAAGGTCTTAATGTCATGAAGTTACGAGAGCACCAGTCAAATATTAGTCTGATCTAAAACCAGTCAGCTGTAATCTAAAAATTGTAAAAGAGCATCAAGTCAAAGATGTGAGGGCCTGCACATGGCCCTCTGGTGTACTCCTCTTACTGCAACTTTTTTTGCTCATCCAGATATTGTAGAGATTCTGTAAGTTCTGTGTGATTTCCAAACGTCTGGAAAAGTGGTATATCTTTAAATAAGAAAAATAATCCTGCCATCCTTGTTCAAGTGGGTGCATTTGTTCCTGATATCACTGCTTTACACCAATAACAGCTCAGAGCATCTTCTTTTCCACTATTCCAGAGTAATGGCTGTTTCTGTCTGCTCTCTTTGTAGATTGAACCTCCTAGTCCCTACACCAGCTTGGAGACTCAGGTTAGTACCACCCCCATCCACTTCTTTCTGATAGGAGATTCTCTGAAAGAGAGGGCTGGGCTGGTGTTGCCCATCCCATTTTGGTGTCCCTGGAGAGGGTGCAGGTGTAGCAGCAGCTCCTGAAATTGCCTGGCTGGGCAAGGAGAGGAGCAGATTGCTGACAGGACACAGCAGCTGCAGATGGTGAGGAAGGGCCTGGTGTAAAGCTGGACAGCAGCAGAATTGACTTGTATGTGTTGGAAGGGAAGGGAGGACAGTCCTCAAGGCAGAGTGAGCATCCTTTCGTGGTGTTCTCATTTCTCTTTGTGTATTCTGCTTCCCAGCCTTTTCCCAATTCCTGATGCTGGTGTTACTCTCTTGTGCTGCTGATTTTTTTCTTTAGACATTACAATGAACGGTAATGAATCTGTGGAGCTGCCTGGCACCAGAAGGTCAAAGTGACAGAAGAGATTTTACAAAGTCACTGATGATTTGATTTGTGTTTTCTAACAAGGCAGCATCATTGATTTCCATTCTTGCTGATCTTTGGGAGACAGCAAGGGCTATGGAGCTTGCATACTGAAGATGAGTGTTTATTCAGAACACATTTCCAATGCCCCTGAGTGACTGCATAAATATTTCTACCTTTGTCTTCTGCTGCCTTTCTCTGGGGAAAGCTTTTGACTGTTTTGTTATTTGTTTCAACAAGCCTACTATATCTATTTTATGGACCTCACTTCAGAGCAAAGTCCTTGTGAGTCAAAACTGGCAAGGAAGGATCACACAGCGTTTGTTAAACACAGTGGCATTATAAAGTGCTATCAAAACACAGTGTGTGTAATAAAGTACTGATCTGTGCATGATGTAGAACTAGAAATATACATGATGAAGGCTTACTTTATTACTGACTTGAAAGAGTGTAAGAAGATGAGCTTGTGTTGGTGAAGGTGCTAGTGGAGAATGAGTATGAGCAAGAGAACTTTTCACTTGGAGAAGGAAGTGACAAGATCATCAGCTTCAGCTGGTGGAATGCAATAAATTATGGCTGAGGGAGTTCCTTTAGCCCCAACAGACCTCATCCTTATCCTGCCTGCCACGCTGCATCCTCTCTGACCTGCCTGGCGTTCCCTCTTCTGGCCCATTACCCCCTTGCTAAGGCTCTCAGCAAGACTGCTAGTCCCAAAGTTTGTATTTTTAAGGAACCTTAATATTGTTGGGGTCAGGAAAGGCACAGATGCATTGTTTAATGAATAATAAAGGTAGAAATTAAGTGTATCCTCTTATGTAGTGGTATTTCTTTTAGTGTTATTGAAAGTCACATCTGCATCTGAATCCATTTTCTGTAAAAAGCTGATTTCTTCTGATGTTGAAATAGATGAGGGGAGTCAAAACTTTTTATAGGCAACACTTGTGTCCCAAAGTGGTGTAGAGTGGGGTCTGCTCACATGCAGGAGCTGAGACCAGAAGGTGTCACTTCCCTGGAGTGGGGAGGGAACAGACTGTTCTGTGTCAGAGGGAGAAGGGAAAACTTCTCAGCTGTAGGTCAGGCTGCAGCTTTGGTTTCTAGGCATGTGTTTCACTTCTGAAGTGTTCAGAAGTGAGCAGATGAGCAGTGGAAGTTGATGGTTTGCATCCTGGCTAAGAAATTAGCAGTCTTAGCTGCAAGTGTCTCTGTTTGCTGTGAAAAAACACTTTGAGAAGAATAACATCAGCAGCTTTAACTTTTTATAGACTTAAAGAGAATCTCAGAATTTGCAGAAGAAAATTTGCAGAAGTTTCCTGCATGCTTTATTCTCCTCCTTTTTCTTTGGGGGCAGATGGGAGCAGAGCCTTGCACTTCACTTGAGTAGAGCGAGCAGCTTTTCTGCTGGGTGGTTTCCTGCACAGTCTTGGCATGAATCACCTCATTTGAGAGTTTTTCTCCACTGCCTTCTGGTTTCCTGTCTTGCCTTGGTTTGGTTGGTATTTTGAATTTTGAATGTTGACATTTCAAACCCATGCTGTGTGCTGGAGCCCTTCTCATGAATTTTTGATACAATTTCCCCTCCTTTCCCTGGTCTCTCAATCAGACATACAAGCTGTTGAAAATTTTACAAGTTTGGCTGCAGGTGACCTTCTGAAGAGACAGTGAGTACTCTTGCAATGTGCTCAGCTTCAGCAGATCTCTTTGAACTCCCACATGAAGATTCATTTTGGTTTGTGTGCAAATGAGCAGAGGAAAGCACTGGCTTGTGAGCTAAGCAGGTGTTCTCCCTGATATTTTTCCAAGGCAAAGATGCACAATCCCCTCATGTTTTCTCTTTTAGAGGCGTATTGAAGCAGTTTGTTCAAATTGGACCTGCCAAAGCACACTGCTTGTGTTAATCAAATAGCAGAGTAGTGGGGATCAGTGTGATTCACTTGTACCTACCTGTGCTGGTTAGATTTGCTGGTTCTTCCTGGTTTGATTTTCTTTCCCCCAGGTGTGATTATATAGCTCACAAACGACTCTTCTTTAGCTTTTCTCATGTTAAATGGTGTGTAGAAGGCCTGAATAATGTAATTTATGAATTTGGTGCAGCAGATTAATAACTACCTAATCCCTTATGCTCAAGGGAGTGGCAACTTTATTTGCAGTATGTTGCAGATGATTCTCATCTAGGGTAAAACCCAGAAACTTTGTCTTAATTGGAAAAAAACATTTTAAAAACAAGCCTCCCGTTTCCTGTCTCTAATCTCAGTGTGAGTTAATGCCAAACCCAGATACCCATGAGCATCCTTGAGGTGTTCATCCTTTGTCAAACACTAAAGTCCCATCAGGATTCTTTTGGAGGGTTCAGGCATGTTTGCCAGCACTATCACACAAAGAGAAGCTGAGCAAACCAAGATGAAGCAAACAAAAAGAGAATGAAAGCTGTTTTCAGCAGCTTAGATGTTTATACATTACGTCTGAAGCAGCTGTGAGTGTTTGTGACTCCTTTTCTCATGGTTTCAGAAGTTATCTCCATTAATGAGATTGCGGCTGTTTCCATTTCGCACTTCCCATCCTCCATTTCACAGAAATAGCAGGAGCCAAACGGGACAGCTTTAGCAGCAGTTAGCCCAGAGATAAATTTTGGCCCAGTTTTTCATTCCCTTGGAGCAGTGGAGTTTGTTATTGTCCGTGGGTCACAGAGGTGGTTGTTGCTCTCCTCCCAAAGCTGTGGCTTTGTGCCTGTTGCAGGCTGTGTGATGGGATGCTCTGGTACAGGAGCAGGGAATATTGTACCTGGCAGAGGGAATCTGTGCCACACAGGGACTGAGTCAGCAGTGCAGCTGTCGCAGTTTTTACCTCTGATCTCACCTGTGGGAGGTGAACCTTGCTGGGTTTCCTCAGCCTGACTGTGCTCAGTGCTTGCCCTGGAAACTGCTCTCAGGGTGAGCCTGCAGCAGGCAAAACTGTGTCTGGGTGGGAAGTGGTTGGTTTTATATTTCTTGGAATTGCTTCGAATTTTATTGTTAGCTCATGTGTTAGAAACCTGGGGATTTTTTTCAGTTTTAGTAAATATTAGTGAAAAAACCCCACGAATCCAGGAAGCTTGGAGCTTGTAGAAAAAGGATGTCTTGCAGTTTTTGTGACAAGATAATTGTGATTGGTAGCACCACAAGCATGGAGTCTTTCATAAAATCCTGTTGTGAAGATAAAGGAAACTTCCAGGGTGATTGCTTTCAGAATTCAGATAAATATTTTTCTTCCAAAGCATTAGTTTGGGGGGTGAGGAGGGATCCATGCCAGTTCATGATGTGCCAAGGAAAGTAAAGAGCTGACCTGTCTGAGGGGACATGGCCAGTGGGGAAAATTCTGCAATTTCTTGTGGTAACTGTGCACACAGTAATTGAAGATTTTGCACTCAGCTGTCAAAGTGAAGAGGAAACAGCATGTTTTCCTTCCTGCTGAGGAGCATGAATACAGAAGTAGAATTCATGAGCTTCCCTCTGAAATCTTCATAAAGCAGTCCCCATAGAAGCATCCACTGCAATTAAATTGCTGAGCTGCTGTTGTCTAATAATCAGATACACTGATTTTGGCAAAGATAAGTCCAGAAACACAGTGGCTAGAAATGTCCCCATTGTTAAATCACAGAGGAAAGAGTTTAGGTATTATTAGGAGAATGCATCTTCCAATGTGTCTGCTGAGTGGGTCCCTTTTGGACGCAGGTGGAAAATACCCAGTCAATCCAGCAGGCTGTTATTGGCATTGAAGCTACTGAAGTACAATCTCATGCAGCATTTTGGGAACTTATTTTGT